TCTCACAGAGGAAGACATAGACATGGCCAACATGCACATGAGAAAATGCTCTGCATCACTTGCCATCAGGGAAATACAAATCAAAACCACAATGAGATACCACCTCACACCAGTGAGAATGGGGAAAATTAACAAGGCAGGAAACAACAAATGTTGGAGAGGATGTGGAGAAAAGGGAACCCTCTTACACTGTTGGTGGGAATGTGAACTGGTGCAGCCACTCTGGAAAACTGTGTGGAGGTTCTAGTGAAAGGGAATATAAGGGAAGGGAGAAGAAATGTGTGGGAAATATCAGAAAGGGAGACAGAACATAAAGACTCCTAACTCTGGGAAACAAACTAGGGGTGGTGGAAGGGGAGGAGGGCGGGGGGTGGGGGTGAATGGGTGATGGGCACTGAGGGGGGCACTTGACGGGATGAGCACTGGGTGTTATTCTGTATGTCGGTAAATTGAACACCAATAAAAAAATAAATCTATTTTTTAAAAAAAGACCTAAATAGGAGACCTGAAATCATAACAATCCTAAAAGAGAGCCCAGGCAGTAAGGTCTCTGACATCAATCATATCCACATTTTTTTTTAGATAGGTCTCCTATCTAAAGGCAAGGAAGATAAAAGCAAAAATCAACTGTTAAAATTACAGCAAAATAAAAAGCTTTTGCAGAGAGAGGGAAACAATCAACTAAACTGGAAGACAACTTACTGAATGGGAGAAGATTTTTGCAAATGACAAAGGTGATAAAGGGTTAGTGTCCAAAATATATAAAGAACTGATAAAAGTTCAACACCAAAATAAACAAATAATCCAATTAAAAATGGGCAGGAGACATTAATAGATATTTCTCCAAAGAAGACATACAGATGGCCAACAGACATTGAATATATGCTCAACATCACTCATCAGGGAAATGCAAATCAAAATCACAATGAGCTATCACCTCACACTTGTCATCATGGCTAAAATCAACACAAAACACAAGGGTTCATGAGGATATGGGGAAAAAAATGAACATTCTTGCACTGTTGGTAGGAACATAAATGGTGCAGCCATTAGGAAGACAGTGCAGAGATTCCTCAAAAAGTTAAAAATAGAATTATCATATGATCTAATAATGCCACTACAGCATATTTACCTCAAAATTACAAAAACATTAATTTAAAAAGACATATGCACCCTAGGTTTATTGTAGCTTTATTTACAATAGCCAAGTTACGGAAGTAGCTCAAATGTCCACTGAAACATGAACGGATAGAAATGATGTGGGGTGTGTGTGTGTGTGTGTGTATACATATATACACACACATAAATTTATTTATATACACATGTGTGTATATATGTGTATTATATATGTATATGTGTGTATATATATGTGTATATATAAATGTGTGTTTGTATATACACACACACAAAATGGATTATTATTCAGCCATTAAAAAAGAGTGAGATCTTGCCATTTGCAACATGGATGGATCTAAAAAGTATAATGCTAAGTAAAATGAACTGGAGGAAGACAAATACCCCATGATTCACCCCTATGTGGAATTTAAGAAAAACAAAAAAGAGGCAAACCAAAAACACAGACTCCTAACTATAGAGAACAAACTGGTGGTTACCAGAAGGGAGGTGAGTGGGGGAATGGACAAAGTAGGTGAAGGGGACTAAGCATACGCCTATGATGAACACTCAGTAATGTACAGAATTGCTACATCACCATACTGTACACTTGAAACAATAACACTATATGTTACCTACACTGGATTAAAATGATTAAAATTAAGAATATGTGTCTCCCACCATACTTTCAAAGGGCAGTTGAGGCAATCCCCCCAAATACTGATCTTACTCAATATTTATTCAGTGCAGGTAAAATCTAGAACTTGGCAATAGGAGTAATTCTAAACGGGTATCTGAAAAAGTAAATAGTTGGGTTTGCACGGCTTAATGCAAACCTAAAGGGTCAGAAGAAAAAGCCTGAGGGCTGCACCCAGCCCTCCACAGGCTGCTTAAATGTTGCCAACTCCTTCACAAGAAGGTCTATGCATACGAGACTCATGTCTTGCTTGTAGAGTTTGCCAGACAATCTTCCATTTTTCCAAAAATATCAGGTAACACCTACCTCATTTAGACACTGTAAATTATGAAGTCTCATAGATACATGATATATTAAAGACGCATAGGGTAGTAAGTGGCAGATTGGTTACTGAAAACCCCTACATCAGCAAAGTTTGCACTTCAGGAGTTTAAGATCTGAAAAGCAATGTTAGGAGTATCGTAGTCAGAAAATCCATGGAGGTCCTTATAAAATACCACCTTGGAGAAAATAGCAAAGACATTTTACGTTTCTTAAGAGTAACAAGCAATGACTACATAAACACTCTCACTCACATTTATAATTGCATTTTAATATTTCTAGTGAGATGTTTATCAATTTCCTTTCTTTACTACAGATTGGAGGCACTTCCAACTCACCGTATACTATCTTTCTAATTCTGTGACTGCGTAACTGCTGGCTTCTTCATCCTCCCTTCTGTGACACAGTAAGTTATATCTGGTCTTTGCCTCATTTTCTGGCACAGAGCTCCTAAAAATTCTTATAATTTTAAGTAATGGTTCTAGGGGCAGCTTTTGTTCTGATTTTTGGTCTTTGACCCTGGTTCCTGACACAAGAGCTAGATTCCCTTGGAATCCAGGGTGATGACAGTCTTTCGTCTGCTAATAAGATGACTGAGGGGGTTTGTGGGGTGGGCAACAGTATGAGATAGCTTCAGGATGGGAGCTGCTCCCAGAAAGACTAAGGCATGATTAAAGGATTGACCTCCAGGGAAGGGACCCGGGCTAAAGATTGAGTTAATAATCCATCATACCTATATGATAAAACCTCCATAAAGATCCTTAAACTATGGGGTCCAGAGAGCTTCTGGGTTGGTGAACATATCCCTCTGCTGGGTTGTGCACCCCAACTCCACAGGGATATAAGCTCCTGGGCTTAGGACCCTTTTGGATCTTGCTTTATGTATCTCTTCATCTGGCTTTATTATAGCCTTTAGGATACACTAGTAGAACTAAATACTAGTAGTAGTACTAGTAGTACTATTTACTAGTAGAAGTAAATAAGCATCTTCCTGAGTTCCGTGGGCCAGTATAGCCAATTGTCTCACCTGAGGCAGCAGCTGTGGGAGCCCCCACTTGGTAGCTGGTTGGTCAGAAGTGCAGGTGATAACTCAGAACTTGATACTAGCCTCTAAAGTGGGGGCAGTCTTGTGTGGCTAAGCTCTAACCTGCGGAGTATGTGCTAACTTTGGGCAGTGTCGGAATTGCTCAATGTGTGGAGCAATTGTGTATGTTTGGTGTCAGGAGGGTTGTAAGTAAACAAGTAAACAAGTCTTGTTTCGCAACTTACCAATTACATCATTAATGAGTTAAAATTTCCAACTCACATTTTTATTTGTTCTGAGGGTCATAATTTTACTTTTTGAAAAATTATCCTTTAGCAGAACATTGAAGTTCGCTTATGGACACAAGAAATCACAGCAAGGAAAACTCAGGGCTGCAAAATGATTACCTTCCTCTAAATAACCCCATTGGAGAAACTACAGTCCGATTTTAAGGCTAAAAAGGATTTATTTGTTCTCCCAAGAGCTTATCGGAGGAAAATCATATTACAGGTCATGTTTCACTTTTTACCCTGGCTTGCAGGAAGCTAACCATGACATGTGAATCTCCATGGTAGCCACTTTAAATTAGCCTTCCTGAAAGATACTTTTGTCTGTGGTTCCATTTTTCTATTTCTATCATTTTGGTATAAATATGCAAGCTGGCCCAAAAAAAATATATGCAAGCTGACCTAAATTCTTTGAAGGAAAAAAGTGAAGTGTTATATCCATATAATTACATAATTTTTACCTTTAATTCTTTCATAAACCAAATTACTTAAAAATGTTATATATACTGAGTTACTTTCAAAAAGTCCTTCCTCTTTTTTCTTTTTTTAAGCAATCCAATTCAGAAATTCTGATCTAATAGGGTTATAGCTAAAATGCCAAACTAGACTAACAACTCACTTGTACCCACTCAAAAAAGGAGAACTCATGATTTCATGCCCCTCAACATTTCTAACCAAGGCAAGAAGAAAGTTGAGTGACAGTTTTAAGAGAGGAGTCAGAGGGCTGATATTTAAATACAGATGGACATACCTACATGAACTCATCAATAATTACTATAAATTTCTGGGAGGAAAAGGGCAGGTACTATAACATTTTTTTAATTGTGGCATAAAACATTTACCATGTTTAATCATTTTAAAATATACATTTCGGCAGCATTAAGTATATTCACATCATTGTGTAACAGGTCTCCAGAACTTTATCTTGCAAAGCTGAAACTCTACCCATGAAACAGAAGCTCCCCATTTCCTCCTCCCTATAGCCCCTGATAACCACTACTCTTCCTGTCTCTATTATTTTGATTATTCTAGATACCCCATAAGTGGAATCATAAAATATTTGTCATTTTGTGCCTAGCATGATGTCCTGAAGGTTCAAACCATGTTGTAGCATGTGTCAGACTTCCCTTCCTTTTTAAAGCTGAATAGTGTTCCATCATACATATATACCACTTTTCTTTATTCACCCATAGATGAACATTGGGGTTGCTTCTACCTCTTGGTGATTGTGAATAATACTGCAATGAACATCAGTATGCCAATATCTCTTCAAGTCTACTTTCACTTCTGGATATGTATCTACAAATGAAATTGCTGTCTCATATGGTATTCTATTTTGAAGTGTTTAACTATAACTATTTTCACATGAAAAAAACCAGGCAAGTAATTGAATCCTAAAGTCACAAAACAAAAAGAGTCCTCAACCTTGTACCTCTGCATCCTGGCCCTGAGTACAGTGTTCCTTCCACCCACTATACCATCTCCCTTCTGCCTCAAAGAACCAAGTCTACTCTAGAATCAGAACTAAAAGTGGGGTAGTTTAGAATCATCATCTTACCTCTTACACTGAAATTATTCACTGCGTCCTTCAAAAGTCTTACTGAATCCCACAGAGCACTCTTGGAAAAAAAAAAAAAGTTACACTCATGAGCACATAACACATTTGCATATGAACAATCTCTAAGCACTTAGGTTTACATAGGAATCAAACACAGTTACCTTAGTATTGTTTATATAAAAAGTTATACTCTGACTTCCGAGGTTGAAATCAATCCAAAATTTCTCTAGTTTTTCATCTTCTGGTTTTTTCATCTGTAATATGAACACAATTCATTCTGAAGTTATGTATCATGTTAAAGGATCAGATGGTAATTATCCCACTAAAAATGTTTGCTTTCCTTACAAAAACACTACCTTAATATTTTAGGATATCTTTATTGCCATACTCATTTCTGCAGAACAGGAGGAAGGACTCAACTTTATAGAACTAAACTATTTCTGGAAGGAAAAAAAAAACCCACAACCACTATCCTTAACACTTAAAAGATGTTTAAAAGTGTCAGAGGACTCCAGCTACACAAACTTTTTTGTTTTTCTCTAGAGAGAATCAAGAGAAAATAGTCATATATTAATATGAGAAATATAATAATGAGAAAATAGTCATATATTAATAGTCATAATAGTCATATCCTGCATATGAATAGAAACTTTTAGAGAAGGAGGTATTATGAAATATGTGATTATTTGCCATCTACCATGCCATATCCACTATAGTAGAGCTAAGACTTGAAGATTTCAAATTACATGCATTTTAATTGATTGCTAAATAAATATGTTCTTATGATAAAAAAAAAAAAAGCTTCAAACAGTATTGTGTTTATAGAAACAGAAAATGTCTCCTTCTCTGGCCTTCAACTTCCCATAGGTACCTTTCCCAGAGACACATTAACAATGTCTCTGTTTCCTCCCAGATGTTTTCTAGACCTATCAGGAAGTTTATTGAAGAGCTTTTATTCCTTGACAATGGAAAGACACTAGACTTAATTGTCCTCTTGCTTTTCTGAAAACAGCATTTCTTAGACATCTTTCTATCATATGTGCCTATTTTTTAACCTCTATAGAGCTGAATGAAGGTTTTAACCTGTAATGTACATCACTCGAAGCCAGTTTAAAGGCCCAGATTGGAGCTGATGGAAATTTAGTAGTCCACATAAGAAACCACCACCAACCAGATGTTAGAACCTTCAGATAACCAGAAGAAAGATACAGGAATCAATCAGGCTACTAAAATAAGTCCTAGGGAGAAGATATGTGTAGTCAAGAGATGAAGGCTTATTAGTTCACAGAGGCCAGGAAAGGGGCTCTAAACCCAAAACAGAAATGGTTGATGAGGACATTTTGAACACAGGGTCCAGGAAACCTCAGCAGAGTCAAGGTTCAGAAATCTTTGAAGATTTTACCTCCCCCTCCCCCATGGAGATGCTGTAGTTGACCTTGTTCATTTAGAAACCAAAGAAAGTGATGAAAAGGGACAGCTCATGCTTAGACTATAAAGTACAAGGTAGAATGATCTAGAGAAAATAGAGTGCCCCCAATTTCTGTGGACAAAGTGGGGAGCATCGTTGGATGGAAAGAAGGGAACTGCCCATTAATAGGGTAAAATAAGGCCAGATTCCTTGACCTCACAAACACAGTATCAATCCTAAATTCCAAAAAAAAAAAAAAAATCATTAAAAAAAAAAAAAAAGGGATCCCTGGGTGGCGCAGCGGTTTGGCGCCTGCCTTTCGCCCAGGGCGCGATCCTGGAGACCCGGGATTGAATCCCACGTCGGGCTCCCGGTGCATGGAGCCTGCTTCTCCCTCTGCCTGTGTCTCTGCCTCTCTCTCTCTCTGTGTGTGACTATCATAAATAAATTAAAAAAAAATCATTCAATCCTAAATTCCTGCATCTTGTAGTTAACAGTAGGGCCCTTAAACTTATTAGTCATGCATTCATTCCAATTATGGTAGGAGAGAAGACAGGCAAAGAAAGGCTTCAGCGTTGAGGCCTCTAAAAGAAGTAAGCTTCCTTTTCTAAAAGGCCCTTCTGGGCAGGAAGGGCAGTTTGGCCTAGTGATTATGTACACTGAACTCTGGGTTTCATTATATACCACTCTCAGGACCCCCAGAGATAAACATACCTCATGCCCATCAGCAAAAGCAGCAATACATGGAAATGAAAAGACCCTGCAAAACACGTCACAATTAAAAAGTAAAATATAATTTGGGTGGATCCCACGCACCACCTACAGATATTCCATAACAAGCATTTATATCTAGGGTATGCGATTAAATGTCTTTGCACAAAGTATAGAAGAGAGTCTCAAACCTGCAAATGGATGCTACTCCAAGTAGATTTCCAATCTCCATCTGGCCAGGTCTACAAGCCAGGTTTACTGGTATTATCTCTCTGCCTCCTTGCTTAGCAACATTCCAATGAAATGAATTTAGCAAATTCTCATCAAAGACTTTGTCTGCAATCTACCTATCTCCAATGACCTCATATCTTCAGGAAGTCATTTTATAAAATCTCCCAGAGAACATGTTACAAATATTCCAGATCATAAGTAAATATGCTAAAAAAGAAAACTGATAGAGATCATTTTTAAACATATACAATGAATCACTAGGGAGAATGGATCTAATCTCCCAATGTTTCTATTCAATGGATAATCCAGTAGTGATCAATAAGTTATATATCTTCCATTCTCTCCTGAAATAAAACAGATCCTAGATTTTTAGTATTAGATATTTTCAAAATAAGATTAGTCAATAAAATAACACCCAGACAAATACTTACTTTCTTTCATCACCAAGTCTGTTGTTTAGGTGATTGAGAAACAGTCTACAATCCTTCAAAAAAATAATACAAACTTTTAAAAAAAATGGGTTTTATTTAAGTACTATTTTTTTCCTGCATGTGTCATAAAGAGGTGGCTTCAGACCCAAATTCTGGAAGGAACCTCCAAGCCAGGAGACTTTCAGCTGAAGAATGCTTTAAGTCTCCAAAAGTTATACACACAGTTACATTTCAACTGGGTTAAGAGGAAAAGAACTACATTTATAACTTGTGACATAGATTATAGGTTTTCTGACCCATTGGGCATCCAGCTTACTAATATCTGCCCAGCATGAGCCAACCATAAACCAATAAACTTATCAACTTTGGGTTTATTCTGGGTGCATTACCTTCTGCCAATTTTCCTTATGAGAAGTTCTCCCATTCCTTCCTCTCTCCTCATACAGTTGCAGAGAATGAGGATTATTTTTAAGTTCTCCTGACCAGAAGCAAGTAGGGAGGTACATCTGTTGCCTCCAAAATACTAAAGGTTAATAAACTGACTCAGGCTTTTGTCCCTTTTCTTAGGGAGGACTGGCTACTTTAGTCCACGCTTACACTCTGCCTCTTTATGCAGCACGAAACAGCAGTAATGTAAGCCTTAACTTAAAAGGAGTTCAATTAAGAAGTCGATGGCTCTGTGGGGGAGAGGATTTGAAAAATATCACCTATTTTCATGAAATGTCCCTGCCCATGAGGGAATGACCCAGAAGAATAAGGAAATTAACATCTGAGGGTCCACATCATCCCAGGCACTTTTGGTTTCGCTCATTCAGTTCTCACAATTTTAAGGCAGGTTTTATTGCCATTTCACAGATAATGACATTAAAGTTTCCTAAGTCAACTAACCAAAATGCATATACATCATATAAGCCAGGGAGGTGGTACTCAAACCTGAAGCTTATGGTCTTTCTATTGAGATCAACTGGAATACTAATTGAACAACTACTACCTATCTGGCAGTAGGCTCAAAGTTAAATGTATTTCTTTTAATATATTTAAATTTTCAGATTTAATACAATTCTAATTGCCGAGCAGTTTTGACTGCAAAGGCTTGGTTCTACATGAGCATGGTTATTAAGAATTTTACCTCTTCCCAGGGCCTAGCCCTCATTTTAGGAACTTTTTGAAAGAAGAGAAAAAACAGTTTAGCTATTATGGATGAAGGTGAGCATGCAGCAAAGGTGTAAGCTATTTTTGGCTCCTTGAGGATACAATCACCGTGAGCCCAGATTGCATGCAAGACATTGGGAATTATTCTTCCAAAATACAGAAGCCAGGTGGCTCAAAACACATCTACCCATAATACTCCTCTGCAACTAGAAACCCCATGTCATTTTCAGCCTCCCCTCCTCTGTGGAGCTGCTCTGTGCAAGGCTGAAAGCACATTCTTTACTCCTCCAACTCTCCCTACATCTGAGGTTCGTTGAAAATTGCTTCCCTCTCCATGATGTTTTCTCTGACTGGATACATCCTATTCACATCATTCTGTCTCCAGTCCAAATTGCCTATAAAGAAATTTTATCTGTGTGCCCCTATTTGGCCCACAGATATTCTGTTCATCCGGTCCTCAAATCCTTTCATAGAAATGGGAAATAGGAAGCTTAAGAATGGCAACTTCATCACTCGACCATTTTTTATTTTTAAGAAAAATTCCTCCCCTGAGCTCGATGTCGAGGAAAACACTGTGAGGATGTTTACTAAGAATTGATTAAATGGAATTTTGGTGACCAGGAATCTCACCGTCTCAAATTCTCGATCCTTAATTTCTTTGAAAGCTTCAGCAATGACATCATCTTCAAACCACTCATGGACAAGGTCACCCCTTGATTTTTTCAAGGTCAGTCTACACAATGCTTCAGAAAGAGCAACTTGCTGGTCATAATCTAGAGATTAAAAACATGGTAGATCATTCAAGGCTGGGCATAAAGCAGAAGATAAAAATGAATCCTACAGATAAGCACTTGCTTTAAGAAATTCCATCTTAGAAGACTAGCATGGCATGTTACAGTTATAAGCAGTAAGATGTATCTTAGAGATTGTTTAAATTCAATATTTAAGAAACATTAGGAGAAAATTTACATAAGTCAGCATATGTCAATTAAGATATACTTTTGCATTTTACATTTTAGATATATTAAAACATTCATCAAAACCTCAAACAGGTTTAAAAATATTTCTACTACAAAAATAAAATCAAGACAAATTGAGGTATTTCACAACTGATAAAAACTACATACAACATATTTACATTTCAAATAATCTTAAGGGTAAAAGGCAAGTTGCAGCCAGATATGTACAACAGGAGGATATTTTTAGAATACTTTTAAAATTTGCAAAACAATGTATGAAGTGATGAATCACTAAATTCTACTCCTGAAACGAATTTTACACTATGTTAACCAACTAGAATTTAAATAAAAATTTGGGGAAAAAAAAAACAATGTATGTTGTTTATGAATACATAGAATAAAAGTAGAAAAATATACTTTTGAATGAAAACCAAATCCAAGTGTAACTCTTATTTTACATACAAAAAAGACTTGAAGTAAATATGGAAAAATGATAAAATTTGACTAGGCTGGTTGGTGAGGAAATGAATATTCATGAATTATTCTTTAAGGCTTTCACTATGTTAAAACTTTTCATAAAAAATTTAAAATGCTAACTCCTATCTTGAACTTGACCATAATTTATTACCTGTAGTTCCAAGATACTCACAAACCCCGAAGTATCCAATATGCAATACTCTAATAGTTAAAATTCTAAACATGTCTTACCACCCACAGTCAAGATTGTTCCTGCAAGGTCTTTCCTGAAACATTTAGATAAATTACATTTTACTAAAGTGAACACATATAAGACTTTACTATATTGGCATCAAAATTTAAAACCAAGATGTAAATATTTTTTAAGATTTTATTTACTTATTAGAGAGCACACAAATGGAATGGAGGGGCAGAGAGAAAGGGCGAAGCAGCCCCCCTGCTGAGGGCCTGACACAGAGTTGATCCCAGAGTCTTGGGATCCTGACCTGAGCTGAAGGCAGACACTTAGCTGACTGAGCTACTCGGGTGTCCTTGAAGATGTATATTTCTTAAATTATTTCAAATTCAGCATCAGAATTTCTTAAATGTCAAGATACATCTTTATGGAAAAATTGTTTATAATTAATTATTTAAATGCACTTCTAAAAAGAAGCTAGAGTTATATATTTGGAGGTTCTATTTCTTCTTCTGTAAAGTGAATTCACTTGAAGTCTGAAAATTATCAAATGCTAAGATTCTGGAATTTTATTGTCACCTCACCAACTTGTATGAATATATTTTTCATATGATTTTTTTTTAAAACAGTTGGTACCTGGAAGAAATGATGTAGTAGGTGCTTGGTCTTTCTAACAAGCTTTTGACCTGGTTTTAAAAGTTGATAAATTTATCATTTATTATAATGTAATACCCATAGTACATCGAATAACAGACTCCCATATTATATTTTCATTTAATAATTTCAGTTAAAAGCTAATAAGTATGATTTTGGTCTTTTAATGTCTGGAATAACTCCCATTTTAAAGAGTAGATTGTCCAAGTAATCTCGTAGTTCAGTTTCTCATAAACAGATTGACTTGTTACTATTAAAAAGAAGCCTTAAAATAGTACCACTGCTTTATGCTTGCAGACTTCACATCTGGCCTAGAGTTCAGACCATTCCAGACTTTCTAGAACACACAAATAAGGCAGGGCCATGGGATTAGTTTGAAAACTTAGGAGAAAACATCAGGCCAATTGTTCTCCAAATCTAACATTAAGAATAATAATTAAATTAATGCAGCCAAATATTTTTAAGGAAAGATTCAGTAGAAAAACACATCCTGCAAACACCAGTTAAACAGGCAAACATTAGAGCAGCAGGCTCCATGCTCACCAATCTCTACATTCAGACCTACAATAGGACAAACTTGGTTGCCTTCCTCTCATCAGTTATAGCTGCGTGTCATATGAATGAGGACATGCCACATGAGGTCAATGATGCTGGTTAGTGGTTGGCACAGTAACAGATTTAGGTTCAAATTTTAAAATAGGATGCTGGTTTTGCTCTTTCCATGGCCACACATCATCTTGCCTACAATTTTTAAGGTCCCAAGAACTACAGAATTGTAACTGGGTCATCAAAAAACAACAACAAAAAAAATCCACTGTTTTTTTTTTTCCATTGTTGAAAAGCAACACGAACTCCACTGGCATAGCTAAAGGTTGGTAGTCTTTGAGCATTTGCTCTCTACCAGGTAACCTGCTCATCACTTTCAATGGGTTGCTTGATTCAACCTGTATAACTATCAATCAAGGATTAGGGATGGCTCCATTGTACACTTGAGCAAAGAGAGGTGGCAAAACCAGAATCTGAAGCCCAGCTGTCTGGCTCCAGAGTCTGTACCCTTAACATCCTCCCATGAATCACTAATTTAATTCATGTATTTATTTCACACTCATAGAAAAAAAAATAACTCAGAGCCCAAGAAACATTTCAGCTCTCAAAATTGATGAACATACTACTGAAAAAGAAGAATGTAACCAAGTCTAGCTTTTTCCCTTAGTCCTCCTTCACCGCTTAGCACAGTGCCTATATACAGTAGGTGCACAAAACATTCATTGAAGAGAACCATGAAAGCAACAGGTCTACGGAGAACCAAGACAAAGGTAGTACAATCCAGAGGGGTTTTACCCTTCCACTACCCCATAATCAAGTACAAGGTCACGTACATAAAACGATATGGACCTTCCAACAAGGGGAATCGTCTTCTCTCTTCCTGAGGCATGGCATGCAAAAGGGAGTTCAAAGTTTTCAAAGCCTGTTTGGAGTTGGAGAAAGTATTTACAGGAAGAAACGGGGAGGCTCAGCCCTCTCTAAGGTCTTTAGAGGAACTGTTGTCACTTTTGTTATTTGCAACTCACCTCCTGTTTGACCGAATGATTTACAGTCTTTTCTGTCACCAGAAATCCTAAGGCAAGTATGAAAGAATCCAACATCTGAATTTTCCCTGAAAGCATAATTTTAAAAGAATCAAAGTGACGCTAAGGAAATAAGGAAATGACTCCCACAAAACAGGAAGAAGTCTGGAAAAGCCATGAAAGCAGTAAACATTTTAGAAATTAAAATAGTCCCGGACAATAAAACAAGGACAAAATACACTTGTATTGCACAGACCCTCTTTGAAGAAAAGAGCAGCATGCACCAAGTGGAACTGTGTGTGATGACTCTATCCCACGTAAAGCTACTTTTTTTGGTCCAGACTGAGGGACAGAGATATACAAAGGGTCGCTCCTGCACAGTTTTCTGTTGTTTCTGACAGTTGCATATTTTTTAAAATAAAAATGTTAAGACCTTATGATAACAGAAGTAGGGTTTTAACAAAGTATTGGCCTTTATTAAATAGCAGAATTATAGAAACTTCAGTTATTATAGGTCAGTATATAGCTAACAAAAGCATTTGTGATTATCCTTTATGCTTATTAAACTATATTATTTCATTTATGTACATTGTGTTAAGGTACAAAATGTTTTTGCAAACTTATGAGAAGTACAAAAATTTATGGTAAGGTCATAACATTACTTTGATAGGTTCAAATGAGCAATTTGACATATGGATTATTTATCATATGTCATATACTTACTCCCCATATAACTCATGAAATTGTAAGAACCCATACCAGAAAATGGAAAGGAAAAACATTCCTCCTCCATCAAAAAAAAGCAATTGATACTGTTGGATGATCTCTGGAAACCAGAAATTCGGCTAGGAGCTGTGCCAACAACTTTCCTGCCAGTTTAAAACTTGAGAAGATTTCAATACAGCCTAGATGGACAGCAGAGGATCCTAAAGACATTTATGGACCCTGTTAATCAGCAGCTATCAAACATCAATCTTTTCATGGAAATAGCCAAGAGAAACTAACAAATACAGCCCTACACAAGGGACAGAGGAACACTGCCATCAGGTAGCAGAAAGGGGACTTTTTAGGAAGTGTTTACTTCAGGAAACAAAGAGTTAAGAAGCATGTGACTTATCACCAAAACTCAAAAGAATATGACTTCTGTGAAAGAATCCCCACCCTTAAGGCTCCAGCATAATAAAAAATCTGACCTAAGACACGGCACAAAAGTAACCGTTTCAAAAGTACTGGGACATGCACTGCAGAGATTTATTTGCTAATTTCAGAATACGTGGTGGAGAGACTGGAATCTTTAGGAGACTTCTCCAAGAACAAAAATGCTAATGGGCACCATTTCTCTTCCCCTCCCTCAGCCTACATAGCTGGACACTTACAGGAGCCAGCAGTGATTCTCTCCTCCAATCTTGGCACCACGTGTCCCACCCCCAATGCACCCTTACAGACCTGCCCCAGCCAACCCACCTCCCTCCACAGCCATCCCTACACAGTGGCTACTACTCCATCACACCATGCAAGCTGCACCACTCCAAAGCAACTACTACCCTGGAGAGAGGAGGGGATAATCCCACCATACCTGTTTGCCCACAGTTCTAGTAACCAAGCCTTTTAATTGGTCACACAGGGAGAAAACCCTGTCATTAGATGAACTTGCAACAGAGGCTGACTGCTGATATCTCGTCTGACTGCCAACCCCACACATCAGTGAAAGCCTCTGAGCCACACAGGGAGAAAGGCTGGTCATCTGATACACTCACACAGAGAGGATAATTGCAGACAACTAGCCTGACTACTGACCCTGCCCACCTACAAGCCCATCAATGCTGCGTGGACCAAACCCTGCCCAGTGTACCTACAGTAGGCAAAGTGGGTCACTGCAGCTGACTGGGCTGAAAACAAACATAGCTAGACACAACAGTAAGGTATATGAAGCCCACATAGGAGATACCCCTAGCTTGTGAGGTTCTGATGACCGGGGGACATGGCACTACAAGGAACCACTGAACTTCTACACAAGGCAATTCTTTTCAAAACTAGGAGATATAGCTATCCTCCCTAACACATAGAAAAAGACAACATGAGGAAATGTCCCAAATGAAAGAACAGGACAAAAATCACAGCACAAGAGCTAAAGAAGTGGAGATAAGCAATATGAGAGAGAATTCAAAGTAATGGTCCTAGAAATACTCACTGGACTTGAGAAGAGTGGATGAGAATGTGAATATCAACAAAGATAGAAAATATAAAAAAAATATATAATTCAGTAAAAAAAAAAAAAAAAACTAGAGGGAATCAATAGCTTATTAGAGGAGACAAAAGAAGAGCTCACTGATCTGGAAGACAGGGTAATGGAAAAGAACCAAGCTGAACAGCAACAAATGAAAAACAAGAATAGGTTAAGGAAACTCAGCAACATCAAGCATAGTAACACTGACATTGTAGGGATCCCAGAAGGAGATAAGAAAGGAGCAGAAAACTTCCCTAAACTGGAGAAGGAGACACCCAGATCCGGGAAGCACAGAGAAATCCTAACAAAATGAATGCAAGAAGGTCCACACCAATACACATAAATACTAAAAATGGCAAAAAAGGAGTAAGAGGATTTTAAAAGCAGCAAAGGAATACCATTACATATAAGGGAAACCCCACAAGGCTATAAGCCTATTTTTCAGCAACTATTAACTTAAAATAGACCACTGCATGCATATGTTATACACAAACCTAATGGAAATCATAAATCAAAAACTAGTAATAGATACACTTGGATTCCATTCTATTTTTGACATATCACTAAAGAAGGACAATTATGAGAGAAGAGCACAAGAAAGGAACACGGAAAAAACATACAAAACCACCATAACAAGTAACAAAATGTCAATAAATACATACCTATCAATAATTACTTTGAATGTAAGTGGACTAGAAACACCAATGAAAAGACATAGGGTGATGGAATGGATAAAAAAACAAGACCTACTTATACATTACTGACAAGAGACTCATTTCAGACCTAAAGACACCAGCAGATTGAAAGTGTGGGGATGAAGAAACATTTCTCATGCAAATGGGTGTAAAACGCTGGGGTAACAATACTTATACAGGAAAAAATAGACTTTCAAACAGACTATAATAAGAAACCAAGATGGACACTACATAATCATAAAAGGAACTGTCCAGCAAGAAAATGTAACAGCTGTAAATATTTATCCAACCAACACAGGAGCACCCAAATACATAAATCAGTTAACAAACATAGGGGAAGTAATGGATAGTAATATAATAGCAAGGGATTTAACATTCCACTTACATCAATGGATAGATCATCAAAACAGAAAATCAATAAGGAAATAGTGGCTTTGGATGACACACTGGACCAAACAGACTTAACAAATACATTCAGAACATTCTATCCTAAAACAGTGGAATACACTCTCAAATGCACACAGAACATTCTCCAGAATAAATCACATATAAGTTCACAAAAGCAAACCACTCTCAACAAATTCAAAGAGACTGAAGTCCTACCATGCACTTTTTCTAACCACAAGGTCAGAAAACAAGAAATTGGCCACAAGAAAAAAAAATCTGAAAAAGAGCACAAGTACATGGAAGTTAAATAACATGCTACTGAACAATGAATGGATCAACCAATAAACCCAGGAAGAAATAAAGACAAATGAAAATTAAAACATAATGGTCCAAAATCTTTGGGATGCAGCAAAACTGTTCTAAGAAGAAAGTTTATAGCAATACAGGCCTATACCAAGAAGAAAAATCTCAAATAAACATAACTTTATACCTAAAGGAGCTAAAAAGAAATCCCAAACAAACTGAAAACCAGAAGGAAAGAAATAATAAAGACTAGAGCAGAAATAAAAAAAGAAACTTAAAAATAGAGCATATCAAAGAACTATGATTCTTTGAAAAGATCAACAAAATTGATAAACCTCTAGCTGGACTCACAAACAATAACAAAAACTCACGTGCACCCAAATAAAATCACAAGTGAAAGAGAAATAACTCACACCACAGAAATACAAACAATTGTAAGAGATTATTAAAAAATATATACCGACAAACCGAACAACCTAGAAGAAATGGATAGATTCCTGGAAACAATCTTTCAAAACTGAATCAGGAAAAAATAGAAAATTTGAACAGACTGCTTACTAGCAATGAAATTGAATCAGTGATCAAAATATTGCCAAAAAAAAGTCCAGGACCAGATGGCTTCATGGGAGAATCTACCAAACATTTAAGAAGAGCTAATACTGGGGTGCCTGAGTGGCTCAGTTGGTTAAACAGCTGACTCTTGATTTCAGCTCATGTCATGATCTTAAGGTCGTGAGGTGGAACCTGGTGATGTGCTCCACACTGGGCATGGAGCCTGCTTAAGATTCTCTCTCTCCCTCTGTCTCTCCTCCCCACCCCCTGCCAATGACTCACACTTAAAAGGGGAAGAAAAAAAAAAGAGTTTATACCCATCCTTCCCAAACTATTCCAAAAAATAGAAGAGGAAGGAAAACTTCCAAGTTCATTCTATGAGGCCAACATTCCCCTGATACCAAAACCAGATAAAGATACCAAATACAGCCACAAGCGTGAACAAGCCAATTTTCTCTCATGAACACAGACACAAAAATCTTCAAAGAAATATTAGCAAAGAGAAACTGATGATACATTAAAAAAAATCACACATCCTGATCAAGTGAGATTTATTCCTGAGATACAAGCGTGATTCAATTCACAAATCAAAGGGTTATAGCACATCAGCAAAAAACATTTTAACAGATGTAGAAAAAGCATTTGACAAAGTACAACATCTATTTATGATAAAAACCCTCAAGTAAGTAGATTTGGAGGGAACACTAACATAATAAAGGCTTTTTATGAAAAACCCACAGCTGATGTCATACTCAATGGGGGAAACCCATTGAGAGCTTTCCCCCTAAGGTCAGGAACAAGACAAGGATGCCCACTCTCACCTTTTATTTAACATAGTACTGGAAGTCTTGGCCACAGCAATTAGACAACATAAAGAAATAATAAGCATCCAAAATGGCAAGGATGAAAACACACTCTTTGCAGATGACAATACTCTATATAGAAAACCTAAAGACCTCACCAAAACACTAGAATAAATGAATTCAGTAAAGTCACAGAATACAAAATCAATGTGCAGAAATCCACTGCATTTCTATACGCTAATAATGAAGCAACAAAAAAGAAAAGATCCCGGGGCTCCAGGATCGCTCTCTGGGCCAAAGGCAGGCGCTAAACCGCTGAGCCACCCAGGGATCCCAGTCTAGTATTTTCAACACATGGTGCTTGGAAAACTAGACAGCTGCATGCAAAAGAATGAAACTGGATGACTTTCTTTCATCATGCACAAAAATAAACTCAAAATGGATTCAAGACCAAAATGAGAGACCTGAAACTATACAAACCCTAGAAGGTTGCACAGGTAGTAAGGTCTCTGACATCAGCCATAACATTTTTCTAGATCTAGCCCCTGAGGCAAGAAAAACAAAAGCAAAAATAAACTACTGGGACTTCATCAAAATAAAAAGCTTCTGCACAGTGAAGGAAACTAATCCTTTACTGGATATATCATTTGCAAACGTCAGTGTCCAAAATATGTAAAGAACTTATACAACATCAAAGAAATAATCCAATTGAAAAATGGGCAGAAGACATAAACAGAATATTTCCCTTAAGAGGACATACAGATGGCCAACTGACACACAAAAAGGTGCTCAACATCACTCATCATCAGGGAAATGCAAATCAAAACCACAATGAGACATCCCCTCATGCCTGTCAGAATGACTAAACCCAGAAACACAAGAAACAAGTGTTAGTGAGGATGTGGAGGAAAAGGAACCCTTGTGGGGTAATTTCACTAGTAGGTATTTACCCAATGGAAATGAAAACACTAATTTGAAAAGATGTACACACCCCGATGTTTATAGCAGCATTATTTACAATAGCCAAGACATGGAAGCAACTCCAGTATCCATCAGTAGATGAGTAGATCAAGAAGAGATGGTATATACTAATCGAATGTTACTCAAACATAAAAAAAGAATGAGATCTTGCCATTTACAACAACATGGATGGACCTCAAGAGTATTATGCTAAGTGAAATTAATCAGAGAAAGACAATACCATTTGATTTTACTTAAAAAAAAAAGATTTTATTTATTCATGAGACACACACAGAGAGAGAGAGAGAGAGCCATTTGATTTTACTTCTATGTGGAATCCAGAAAACCAAACAAATGAAGAAAACTAACAGATTCTTAAGGAACAAAGGTGGTTGCCAGAGGCGAGGTGGGTGGAGGGATGGGCAAAATAGAGGATTAAGAATTACAAATTTCCTGTCACAAGTCACAGGTGTAGGAGTGCTGACAACACCAACTCCCTCTTTGGCCTTGTGTCTTTTTCGTATCCTCACAATGACCTCCCTCGGGGTACGTGTTCCATGCCCCAGGGAGGACAATGTGTGCCCTGACTGGAATGCATGATGTGTTGTTCTGATCTTCCTAAAGTGGGGCACAGCAGATCCCACTGCAGAGAATACAGATCCTCTAGCACACAGATGGCACCACTTTAGATAACTACCCTGTGACCTGACCACCATGTCTCTCACTCTATAAAAGCTGGGGATTAAGGTGCAGACTTGGCAGTGAATAGCTGCATAGCTCAGGGATCATATATTTGCTTGATCCCCCTTTTCCTCCCTCATCAGTAAATTACCCTGAATACAACTGAGTAAACAGTATGGAGTGCCTGCTTCGTTTTTTGGTCCTTGAGTGCCTTCTCAGACTGGAAGATATAATCAATAATATTGCAATAATGTTGTATGATGATAGAGTGACTGCATCTATCAAAGAGATCACTAAGTGATATACGTAATTGTCAAATTACTATGCTGCATACCTGAAACTGTATGTCAACTGTACTTGCATTAAAAATATTTAAAATGAAATGCACTTCAGGCAAACTGAGACATACCCCACAACAAAAACTCTGCATTGCCATAGGAGATAGTCAATAAATCCAAATACTTAAATCTGTTTTACTTTTATATGTCATTTACACAAATATTTATACCAGAATATTCTAATGAAGAGTAAGTAATCAATTAGTGGTAAATAATATACTTACCTTTACTACTACTCCTGGAAATAATCTAGTAAAAAGAAAAAAGTAAAGCTTGTATTATTTTTTTTAATTATCACCAATAGGATTAATTGATTAATGCTAATATTTCTATAACAGGCAGGAGTTGACTTTAGTTGAAAAAAATTGAGAAATCCTATTTGACCTTCAATCACTATTATGATCAGCTTATCACCCTTAAAAAGGTGAATAACATGTATATGAAAATAACCTCATTTTTCTACAGCATTGTTTATATATGGTTTCCATTTCATAGTTTAACAAAAAATGAGTCTTAGTAAAACCCACATCTTAGAAAACACAGATTTTGTATAAATAACTTGAAGATTCCTGCAAATACCCAATGGTATCTGTTCAGTAATGCATCCACCCCCATCCTTACCAAGGCTGTGTCAAAGAAGTCTTCTGTAACATCAATCAGGGATGTGTCAGGTGCTGGATCTGCCGTGGTCAGAAATTGTGTTGTTTTTTCAAACCAGGAAACCATGTACGCAAGAGAAGAAACACTGATGAAACCTTCTGTGACTGTATGACTACTGCCTATTCAGTAAAGTTTCATAAATCTTTTACTGGAGCAAAATAGTTTTAAAGACTGGTTTCTATAACACCTCATTTAGACCTGGCTCTAATGCCTCCATCTAGAACTCTCTAGAATCAAGGTCCTACTGGTCCAGGGCTGGTGCTAGTAAGTTCTCAGATACCAGCAAGAGATAGATATTTGGCCAAGATTGATGCAGTCCTATCTAGGGGCTAGTGATTAAAGATTACGAGTAAATGAGCCTCAACACAGGAGCAAGTCTTGTTATCTGGGAGGCTGTAAAAAACAAACAAATCAAAGGAGATGCAGAATTTGGAAAATTCTCTGGAAGTTGGTTAGTACAGTATATATGCCTCAAGCCTTTCTCTGGTCAAAAGCTTCCAGCTAATTGGAGATTTGTTTTCCTATAGAAACATATATCCACGTTCATATTAAGTTGCTAGGATTGGTAGGATTCAAAATAAACTCGTAGAAACCTTCCTACAATATTTAATCAGAGAAGCAAAGGCCACCTTTGGACCATTTTTGCTTAAAAAAAAGAAAATCCTGGGTGCATAGGTTGAAATTATCAGTTGAATGTTAGTTCAGTAAGAGGAGTTTGTAATGAAGAAAAAAAAGAAAAAAAAAAGCTTATGGGAGTGAGTCTTGGAAACTTCATCCACTTTGGAGCCAAGAACCCAAAGCACCAGCTGGAGACCACGGACAAACCAATCCGTCCTCAACCTGGGCTGTGCATTAGGAAAGCTTTGATATACCCTGCTGCCCGGCACCCACCACAGGCCTAGTACATCAGAATCTGGTGGTGGGACCCAGGCGCAGTGCTCGTTAAAGCTTTCCAGGGGATTCTAATACTTAAAGCTCTCTAGATGATTCTAGTGCACAGCAAGGTGGGAGGGCCACTACTAAGTTCCAAGTGATGCTTCTTTTATCTCAAATCAGGCAATGATTTGGACCAGATTGCATTATTCACTTTCTGAGGCAAACTCTTCTCCAACAGTGTAATGGAAAAAAAACAAAACAAAACAAAACAAAACTTCTATACAACAGAACTCACCACTAAGGCAATACTTCCTCCCTTCCTATATTCATACTCTGAATTCTATGCTTTTAAGTACTTTTTAGGTCACTATTCTATTTACCACCCCAAATCCTATCCCCCTCCCAGCACTCCAAAATATATTGAGCACAAATACGGAGAAGTGGGGCCAATGCCACATTATTTGATCAAGCCTTGGGACTAGGAAGTCATACTCTGGACCTATTTATGTGCCACGATCATACATGCTCCCCACGGCTGTGTGATTACCAGAAGCCATAATAGTTATTTACAGATGTAACAGGTACTATCCATCATGCATACAATCTAGAACAAGTTGCTTAATCCTCCGGGACTTAAGGTACAGGACTAAACACATTCCTTTCCATAAGAAATTCTTATTCTAGGGATCCCTGGGTGGCGCAGCGGTTTGGCGCCTGCCTTTGGCCCAGGGCGCGATCCTGGAGACCTGGGATCGAATCCCACGTTGGGCTCCCGGTGCGTGGAGCCTGCCTCTCCCTCTGCCTATGTCTCTGCCTCTCTCTCTCTCTCTCTCTCTCTCTCTCTCTCTCTCTGACTATCATAAATAAATAAATTTAAAAAAATTTAAAAAAAAAGAAATTCTTATTTTAGGGAGAAGAACTTCTCAGTATATTTTGTGTTGACCTGCAAAAATAAACAGCTTTAAAAGTTTAGAATCCAGTATCCCAACTACTTTGGTAGTATCCACCTAGTTTCCTGGACCAAAACCTACATGAAACAGAACATGATTTAGAAGATGTCTCAAAAAAAAAATATATATATATATATAAATAAAAAAATAAAAAAAGAAGATGTCTCAAGCTCTGGTTCTGAAATTTCTATCACCAACTGGAATTCCAATGGAATACGGAAAATGCTATTTGATTTCAGAACTCCAATGGAGATCTGACCAGACTCTTTAATCTTGGAAGGGCATTTTAAAATCTAAATAGAAAATTCAGATTGAGGCAGATCCCAACTCATCTCCGCACCAAAAAAATAAATCAGTTTAAAGTTCTAAGTTACCCCCCGGGGACATCCTGTTCCATTTCCTTTAAAATCGTTTTACCTCCTCTTCCTTAATTTCTATTACCTACAGGAGTAAATATATGAGGGAGTAAGGTGGCGCTACAAGCAAAATGAAATATATACAGTTTGCCTAAGCAAAATCCTTAGCTCTACCCCCACCCTACAAATGATTTTAAAGTCACCGAGAGGAGTTAGGGAAAGCCTGGTGTTTATGCAGTCTCTCCATAGAGGTGCCACATAGTTAGAGGCATTTTACAGTAAAAGAAAAAAAAAAGGGTACAGACAGATCTCCCTGAGTCAACCTGGTTTTACCAAATTTCAGGTACTCGAGTCCAGGGGGTGAAAAAAAAATCAAAGGTTTTAGAACCAACCAGATCACCCTCCTGCCCCTCTATCTTCCCTCATCTCACCAACAAATCGAGTATCTAAGGGTTGCAAAAAGAGGGGTGTAACAGGAGATTTTACAAACACTGCTCTGCTTCCAGATGCCATTTTCAAGGCCCTCAGCATATTGCCCTCGGTTAACACCTAAGACAGGATAAAATGTCATAACGGCATGAATTAGAATAAGCAAAAAATGTTTCTGCTCTTTGGCTTTTCAGATTCAATGGAGATTTTCCAAGTTGGAAAAGCAGGCCATGGCAAGGGGAAGTAGTTGATCATTTATCCAGATTCAATCTTGTTACTATTTAAATAATTAGGGAGCCTTTGGTGGGTAGTATACAGTATAGTAGTATCCCTACTCCTCCTGTAGTCCCAAGTTAAAGTCACTAAAATAAAGCATGTGATTACAGCATTGGCTTGTCAAGGGGAGAAGAGGGTAGGCCTGACTCATTTCCGCACACTCCCAAAGTGCTCGGCACATGGATCAGGAAACCTATACTGAGCTTCATTTTCTTTTTTAAGATTTTATTTATTTATTCATGACAGACACAGAGAGAGAGGCAGAGACACAGGTAGAGGGAGAAGCAGGCTCCCTGTGGGGAGCCCGATGAGGGACTCGATCCCAGGACCCAGGGATCATGACTTGAGCTGAAGGCAGACGCTCAACCACTGAGCCAACCAGGCACCCCCTGAACTTCATTTTTGACTGATCTTGGCCATAAAGCATCATTACCAACTTCTTTTCAAATCTGATTTCAAAGGAACAGAAGCTACCAAAATAGGTAACTGGTTTTGTCACCCAAAGTCACACAAAATGAAAACAAGACACTTATCTTTGGGATCAGTCCCTGCTGAATTAGCAAAGGCTCATCTTCTTTGAGGCCATCAATGAAGAATCGCTGAATACATTTCAGCAACAGCGAAACATACGGAAATTCATTTTTCTCCAGTTCCTGGGCAGTAGACCACACTAAGTTAGAGCCTTACAATGAAAGTTATTAAGGGAGAGATCCTAAGGGTTCACATCACAAGGAGGTTTTTTCTGTTCTTTTTTTTTTTTAAGTTTTGAGTAACTGCTACACCCAAGCAGGACTCGAACTCATGACTTCTAGTTTTTCTGCCTCAGCCAGGTGCCCCTCATCAAAGAATTTTTTCTCTTATTTTGTATCTATAGGAGATGATGGATGTTAATTAAACTTACTGTGATAATTTCACAATACACGTAAGTCAAATCCCTATACTGTACCCCTCAAAGTTACACGGTGCTATGTGTCAATAATATCTCAAAACTTGGGGCGAGGGGAAGCCTTACAAATGCTTTCACATCACTTATCCACCCACAAAACAACACAACTTTACTTGCCTTATTTATTGATTCATCAAGATGAGAGAATACAAGATGATTGTATTTTTGAGGAATGTGGCTTGCTCTCTGTTGAAGATATTCCTTTATTTTCTGAAATCCTTTATCATGGCATGCGTCAATAATAAGTGATTGAAGCTGGCAAGTTGAAAGTTTGCAAATTATTTTCTCCCAAGGACATTTATTTCATAGTAATAGTTCTATTCTTATCAATAATTCAATGTGGAAATATCCCTTAGAACAGTAAATCATCAATTAGCCAATGACTGAGCTCGTTGGCTTAAGACAATTTGCAGAATGTGGTTCCTGGACCACCAGCAGCATGGGCACCACCTGGGGATGGAGCAGGAATCAGACCCTGGGCTGGGGGTTCTGGGGTGGGGGGGCTTCTCACACATGCTAAGTGGCTTAGAACTTAGAACTGTACTTGACCCACAGAGATCGGTGGGAGAAGAGATTTTCTCCTCAGTAATGCTAGAAATTCTAAAAACGCTAAAAAATGCACACCTACCGTAAGTAACATAAATGATCAGAAGAAAATCAACAATTACAGACCGAAGTATGCAAATTGTCATAATGAATTTTTTTCTACCTGAACATCAGCCAAGACGTACTTCTAAATAAATACATTTGAGGAGACACTTCCTTACGTATCTGGACTATAAAGGTAGGATTATTTTTTTCATTTTAAAAAATTCAGCTCATAAAAAAAAAAAAAAAAAAAAAAAATTCAGCTCATTCCTACAGGCTATTATTTTAACAAGGAGGCGTTTTGCTGTATATGGCCCCAATTTCCACATAGGATTAGTGATTTAAATGGAAAGATAGCATTTGAAATTAAACACGTGAACAGAGCATTTTTAAGTTAGCGCATTTTCAAGTGAACCTTATGGCACCAAGGGTGTTGAGTGATCCACAGACCTTTACCGCTGATCCTTATCCTAAAAGGACAGATTCTCTGCAGGGGGTGGGGGGGAGGGGGGGCGGGGAGAGAACAGCAAGGCTGAGAAAGGTTAGGAACTTGCAGGAGATCACCCCGCAGAGATTCCTGCTCAGGTGCTCGGACTCAGAAGCTCTGGCTTCTACCTGTTACCTTGCACTCAGAATAATTCCAGACACTGCGCTCTGCTCTGCAGGCCTCTGCATGACTTGGTATTCAATCAGCTTCTTTTGCCTGACTTCCCTACTGATAATTATGTATGTATATATGTATGAATTAATAAAAAATAAGTTTTTTAAAAAAAATCAAATTCCTCCTTGCCTCAGGACCTTTGCACTGACTGTTCTAGGCCTAGACTGCTTCTTCTCACCACTCTCTACCTGGCTGGCTCGTCATCACCCTCTGATCTCAGCTTCCATATCACCTTTTCAGGCTGGTCTTCCAGGACTTTCACAAGTTAGGGCAAGTGCCACTCTCCACCAGGATCCCCTCTACCTTTTTTTCCCCCACTCCTTCCTTTCTGTTTCTTTGGCTTTCTGCCAAGCTGTAAGCTCCATGTGGGCAGGAATTGTATCTGTTTTGTTCAATACTGTCTACCTGGGATAGTACCTGGCCCAAGATAGTTTAGTCTAAGAATATTGGTAGGATAGTTGAAGGCATGGTGATAAACTGGATGTAAGTAGATTAGGGAAGGAGAAGCAGCAAAGATTTTTTTTTTTTTTTTTTGCCTCTGGTTTGAGCAACTGAGGAGTGATTGTGAGGACAGCTCAGCAAACACAGAACTAGAAAGAGAGCATGCACACAATACCCGCTTCCTCCCCTTCCCAGAATACGCCTGATCTTTACATAGAAAGCATCCAAGGCAATTCCACTCCCATCGTCTTCCTTAAGGGACTGCAAAGGACCTTCCTCGTCCTGTGTACAAAAGGATTAAGAAAATGTCTCAAAGAACGGCATCTCACGTTTTAAAAATAAAAGAAATGAAGCTTCAGATCGTCAGCCCCCAACAAAAAGGTTTTGTTTGCTCATACAATTAATAGGTCTAAGCAACATACTAGAAAGCACCTTCTTTAGCCCTGTGACAAGTACACCTATCACAAGAAGCAAAGCAACCATTGTAACAGTCACACTAGACAAACTATAGTGACAACTAATAATAGGAAGCTTTGGGTTAATGACCCATTTTTATTTTTTAAAATTTTTTTATGACCCATTTTTAGAATGAGAGTTTATAAAACGGAAGTTTTGGCAAGTGTGTGTCAAGCCCAGTCAGGAGATCAAGCTTTAGGTTTCTGACTTCAGTGAGTTTTAAATGAACTTCTCTAGGACTTTTACTGCAACTTCCAGGGTCAAATATTCACCACAGCCGCCAAAGAGAATTTACAAAACATTAAGTAGTGGATGGTTACATCCTTTCTTCAAGAGTAATCCCTGGGTCTGCCACCTTGGTTTTCACAACACATTTCGCTACATTAAATAACTTCATCCCAACAACTATTTAAAAGTACAATACACAAAAAATACACTTCAAATTATCTTCTAAAGAGGTTTTTTTTAAATAATAAATTTATTTTTTATTGGTGTTCAGTGGGTGACGGGCACTGAGGGGGGCACTTGACGGGATGAGCACTGGGTGTTATTCTCTATGTTGGTGTTTTTTTTTTTTTAATCTACCTTGGGCTCACAGTCCAAGTCCCTTCCATATGTATGTGACCAAAATCCTTGAGTGCCAGCATATGTCACAGTACTATCCTCATTGTCTACAGATATGGAAAGTTAGGTGAATTCAAAGACCCAAATCCAAACTGGAGGGTATTATGCTGAGTGAAGTAAGTCAATCGGAGAAGGACAAACAGTGTATGTTCTCATTCATTTGGGAAATATGAATAATAGTGAAAGGGAATATAAGGGAAGGGAGAAGAAATGTGTGGGAAATATCAGAAAGGGAGACAGAACATAAAGACTCCTAACTCTGGGAAACGAACTAGGGGTGGTGGAAGGGGAGGAGGGCGGGGGGGGGGGGGAGGGGGGGGGGCGGGGGGGGTGAATGGGTGACGGGCACTGAGGGGGACACTTGACGGGATGAGCACTGGGTGTTATTCTGTATGTTGGTAAATTGAACACCAATAAAAATTAATTTATTAAAAAAAAGACCCAAATCCCACTATTTTTTTCACCAATAGTGATTTTGGTTAAAGGAATGTTGAGAAGCGGAGGCACTGGCTCCACCTCCAAATGGGGGGGGGGAGTTGTCTTTAAGGGACCTTCCCCTACAGTGCAGGTAGCCCAAGTCCCAGCGCTCAGGACCACAGTTCTGGGGCCCAGGTGCGTTCCTGTCATTGCGGGGTCTAGGCAGCAAGAGGGCCTGGGAAAACAGCAGCAGCAGCAAATCGAGACGCACCATCTCATTGCCTTCTTTTTTTTTCTGTTCTCGCTCACGTCCTCATTTTATTTATTTATTTTCATTGGAGTTCAATTTGCCAACATATAGCAATCACCCAGTGCCCATCTCCTTGCCTTCTAAATGCGGATTCTCCAGCTTCCTCTTTTCTGAGCGAGGGATCAGAGGTTTCTATCCTGCTCGGCTGCCTCCCTGAACGCTCCTTAGCGGACGCCAAGCAAATCTAAGAAGGTTGCAGGTGTTATTCTTTATGTTGGCAAATTGAACACCAATTTAAAAAAAAATAAAATAAATAATAAAACTTAAAAAAAAAAAAGGTTGCAGGGCTCCAGCCCCCCCCCCCCAACGCCAGCTCGCCCCGAGGTAGCCAGTGCGGGGTCTGGGGGGACCCCCGCGGACCGTGCGCCCTCGCAGCCCCCCTGGAACCGCTACACCCGAACCCGGACCCCCCACCCCGACCCCCACCCCCACCCCGGGTCACTCACCGCCCGCATCCCGAGGCCGGGCCCAGGGTGCGCCTGGCCAGGGCGCCGCGCTCAGCCTCCCGCACTTCCCAGGCGGCGCCCGCTGCGCCCACCAGCGCGCACCCGCCCCGGACATCCCCGCAGCCCTCATTAGGCCCCAGGTGGTCGGGCCACCTGGGCGCGCGCGCCTCGGAGCATCTCCTCCGCGGAGGCCGGCGACGCCCTCCTCGCCGCCTCTCGGGAGCTGCTGGCTGCCCGGCGCCCGCTGGAGCTGCGCGGCGGGCTCTGGGCTCTGCACGCCCACACGGGCCAGCCCTTGATTTGTCCCCGGACTGAGCAGTTTGGTATCTGGAATTGTGAGACTCTTTCTGAATTCGCAAAAAAAGATTAAAAATAATAATAACGTGGTGTACTCAAAAACCAAACCAAATTGGGAGAAAAAAAGTCAGTATTTTCATGCATTGCTTGTTTTCTACCTAACTTCTTTTATTTATTTATTTTTAATTTTATTTTTTTCTTTTTTTTTTTCTACCTTCCTGTAACCCGCTGAGAGTGGGTACTAATGGCCAGGTTTTCCGCTAAGTAGCTTTAGGTGACCACAGAGGCAAAAAAAAAAAAAAAAAAAAAAAAAAAAAAAAAAAAAAACAAAAAAAAACAAAAAAAAACACCCCCCCAAAAAAAACAAACTGGACTAGTGTTTTCTTAAAAACAAACAAAACGACCCCTCAGATCCAAATATTCCTTGTGTAAAAATTAATTTGTGTTATAATCACAAGCTATGGGGTATTTCATGGCAAGACATTTACAGAAAATACTTGTTTACATCAAAGCGAGACCCAGTAGAACCAGAATGTCTGCTAGTCCGCTCAGGTCTGTGCACACACCTGCTGGTCCTTCAAAATGATACTTGCTTCAAGATCATCAAATCTGTTTCCTGGCCAATATGATGTAAAATACTTACATTACTTTATTGATCTTCAACTAAGCCTAGCAAATGCAAAGCCTTTGCTTTTGAATTAATGAGCCTTTATTAGACCAAAGTATCAATCAAGTTAGAGCCAGCTGTGAATATAAAGTGTTCTGAATCAATGAAAATACCAGTGCATGAAAAAAAAAAAAAGAATCGTAACCAATAATCAAAATACAGGTTAAATGCATTTGATTTTACAGAATAAGAATATAATATAATCAAGTTACAGTTTTCCTAATAATAGGCAAAAGCTTTACCCTCAATTATTTACAGAATTTTGGGGGAAAACATATCCTTCCAAACTATAGAGTTGCTAATGCATTCAAATCTTCTGGAGAAATGTAAGACAACACCACTACTTACTTATTTTTATTTCCCCATTTTCACTTCGATTACCTTTTTAAATCTATTTTTCTTTAAGTAGGCTCCTCAATATGGGGCTTGAACTCACAATCCTGAGATCAAGATCTGCGCTGAGGGATCCCTAGGTGGCGCAGCGGTTTGGCGCCTGCCTTTGGCCCAGGGCGCGATCCTGGAGACCCGGGATCGAATCCCACGTCGGGCTCCCGGTGCATAGAGCCTGCTTCTCCCTCTGCCTGTGTCTCTGCCCCCCCCCCATCTCTCTGTGACTATCGTAAATAAATAAAAATTAAAAAAAAAAAGATCTGTGCTGAGATGGAGTCAGATGCTCAACGAACTGAGCCTCCTCCCAGGTGCCGCTCAATTAGCTTCTTTTACGAACATATTTTACTGGGACATAATTTTAGAGCAACTTGGGATAAAGATTTTATTTCTTCTGAAACTAAGTACGGTGGTAACTGTATGATATTTCTTTGGCCACCAGAATCCATTTAGGAAAAAAAAAAGTATATGATTCATTGATTTGGCTTTAGCGTTAAGAATTGTATTTGTACGTTTGAAGGGTAAAGACCCTCTAGGAACATTCCAAGATTATAGAGACAAGGAAGATTCTAATAACCTTTACAGTAAAGCCTCGAAATGAACTTCTCTGCCGCGTCCGAGGTGATTTTAAATTATTTTCGAAGTCACGTTAGACCATTTTAAAGTCTACATTATCTCAACTTATCACAATTAACGAAATGTGTATTTGTAAGAGGGAAGCGTGAAGGAGGTTAACGTTTGGAAGACAAACAGCATAAAGAACAACTGAAGGATGGGGAGTGGCCGGATCCTCGGCAGTCGGTTAATATGATGAACCTGCGGGGGCGGGGGGGCAGAGTGGAAGGTCCTTGGTTTCGTCTCCGACAGTCCCGGCGACACGGGAAGAGTGACTTTAATAGGAAACCCTGACCTACAAGACCTTTCTGAAAAGTGAACTTTGGGGGAGGAGAGGCTGAGGGATGAACAAGTACGCTTTCATCTCCGGGGACTTTTGGCCTCTGGTTGGGAGGAGAATTTAGCTCGAAACGAGAGAAAGAAGAAAATTCGTGGCACCGCCCAACGCTGGCATCCCGGTCCCCGAGCATCCGCTGCGCGCGGCTGGCGGCCCTGAACCGCAGCGCCACGGACCCACCGACCGCGCCCTTGACCCGGAGGTCAGGGCACCGCGAGCGTGCGTGGTTACTTAGCCCAGGTTGTGCGTTTGAGGCGCCTCTGCTTTTTCCCAAAGCCTTTGGTCCAATGAGGGGACTGGTCCCAGGAGGTGCTGCTGGCCCGCGCGCCCCGAGCGTGCGGGGGGCGCCCGGCCCAGTGCGCGCGGCCTCGGGGTTTGCGAGGATACAGGTCCGAGCATCCCCCGCCCCTAACCGCGATTGGCCTTGGGGGCGCCTCTTGTCTGCACGGGGCTGGCAACCGAAGCGTGCCCCCCCACACCCCCCTGCAGATCGAAGGCACGGAGAGAAAGAAAAATCTGGAAACGCCCTTCCTCCGCCGCTCAGAGCGGCTACAGAGCGATTTGGGTTATTTCCAACGATTTCTTTTATTGGACGCCTCCAGGTACCCGGGGATCACCCTCAGGAGGCGGATGAACAGACGGAGACGACTGGGTGTGGGTCCCGGGGAATCCGCAGCATCCCGCGCCCCCCTCACCAGGCTCCTCCGGGCTCTAGAAAACTTCCCTAGAAGGAAGGGGGGGGGGTCGCGACAATACTAAAAAATGATCTTTAAAACGTTGTCTCCGGTGGACGGCGACTGAGAACGCGGAGTCCCAGTCCCCTGTTTAAGCGGACAAGGAAACTGAGGCTCAGAGGGAGCCGAGACAGGAGGGGGGGGTGGGGGGGTGGGGGTAGGAGGAGGGAGAGCGCAGTCAGCGACCTGCTGGCGCGCGCAGGCCCCGCCGAGCCCGCCTCCACCCCTCCCGGTCCAGCAACCCTTAGGTAATTTCCATCCCCCCCCCCCGCCGCCTTTCTCCGGGTTCGCTTTCCCGGACTCTAGTCCCACTGGGCCGTGTCCCTGGCGCAGCCCCCGCGGAGCACAGGTGCCCCCAGGCCCGCGAGCTCGCGGGGACCTCTGGCATTCCTTCGGACGACACTCCCCCGCCCCCAGAAGACAAGCAGCACAGGCTTCCGCACACTCCCGACCGCAACCACGGAGCCGAGCGCGGAAGCCCAAGGCCAGCTGCGGGGGGCGCAGGCATCCAGACCCGGGGCGCACCGGCCGGGGTCCTACAGAGCGCGACCGGGAAGGACGATCGCTCTCAGGGCCCTCGGCTGCAAAGCCCGTCTCAACACCTTCCAGGGGATCCCTGGGTCGCTCAGCGGTTCAGCGCCTGCCTTCGATCCTGGAGACCTGGGATCGAGTCCCACGTCGGGCTCCCTGCATGGGGCCTGCTTCTCCCTCCGCCTGTGTCTCTGCTTTTCTCTGTGTGTCTCTCATAAATAAATAAAATCTTAAAAAAGAGAGAGAGAATGTTGTCAGATTCCAGATGATTCTGACTTTAAAAAAAAAATAAAAACGCAATCCGAAACTCCAGAGGCGAGGCGACAGTAGTGGAGGAAGAAGAAGAAAAAAAAAATCCCAACTTAAATGGGACTTTTTAAAAAAGATTTATTTATTTATTAATGAGAGAGACAGAGACAGAGACAGAGACAGAGAGAGAGAGAGAGAGAGAGAGAGAGGCAGAGGCACAGGCTGAGGGAGAAGCAGGCTCCATGCAGGGAGCCCGACGCGGGCCTCGACTCCGGGTCTCCAGGATCGCGCCCTGGGCCGAAGGCAGGGGCTCAACTGCTGGGCGCCCCCAGGAATCCCCCGAGACACTTCAACTCCCCACCCCCACCGTGGCCCCTGGGCCTCTCGGGTCCCCCCCTGAGCCCCCAGTTCCGTCCGGGCGGGGGAGCCGCTGCGAGCGAGGAAAGGCGGGGCAGGGGGAGGCGCGTCTTTATAAACCCGCGCGCCCTGGGCGCCCAGGCTGCGGCCCCCGCGGCGGAGACCCCGGCCCGGGACCCTCGCCCGCCACACCTGGCTTCCTGAATAAATTCTCTCTCTCGGCCTCCCTGCGTGTCTGTCTCCGGCTCTAGCCAGTTCGTTTTTAGAGAGGGCACACAGCACCGCGCACCTGCCGGGGTTTCCCTCCTACCTTCCGGGACCGTGGGCGGCGCGCGCGGGCCAGGTGCGGCGATGCTGGCGGAAGCGGGGCGCAAGGCGGACTGCGCGTGCTCCTACGGGATGGAGCTCACCTGGGACGTCAACGATCCGCAGATGCCTCAGGTGCGTGGACCCGGGGCGCGCGCACCTGGCTCCGTCCCTGCCGAAGAGGCCTGGGAGACAGGCCTCACCGAGGGGAGACACCCCCCGCCCCCCGCAACATGCCTGCGAGCCCTCGACTGTTGGACGCGGCAAAGGGCAGCGTTGGGGGTGGTAATGTGCGTCCCCCAGGTCTCTGCTGGCACTTGTCTGGAACACACCCGTGGCCCCTGGGAACTGCCGATTGGGCCTCACCTGGCCACAGCGGGACGCCAGTCCCTCACTTTTCTTTATCCAAGGTAGAAAGCAGGTGATCCTCGCATCCAAATCTCTGCGGAGGGTGCAGCCAATGTAGATACCACTGCTTCTCCAGACCTGTCAGGCGCGACTATAAATCGCGGTGGCCTGACTCTTAAACAATTAGCATGACTTGGGTGATTTATGCAGATGCCCGTGGCTGCCTGGACGGTCCTGCTAACCAGACCACAGGCGACAAGGGAGCCTCTGGAATCGGGATTTTGGACTGAACTGCTGAGCTTACTTCTCTAACGACAAGGCGATCCCCTCCTTTTAGGGTAATTTTGTTTCCTTTTGTTTGGTTTTCATGGAACAGAGTAGTTTAAAGCCGAGTCCAGGGAAGGAGCTGGACAGTTCCATGCTTGGTGATACCGGTTTGAGGCAAAAACTGAGAAGTGACTTTGAAGTCCTGGGTGTAGGTAGGAGGAGAGAGGAGTGGTTTCCCAAGTATTTGCAAAGGTGGACTTCCAGCAGTGTTGTGGCACAGGGATGACACATGGCATTTATTCAACTTCTACAATGTGCCATATAGATATTCAGGCAGGTAGCCTCTCAGAGATCAGCGCTGTTTGGGACGTACATATGTGCAGGAATTTGTTTTTTTTTTAAGTCTGCTAATTTACAGTCAGCCTGTACCGTTTGTGTGAAAGCAGGGACATAGCACAGCAAGGATGCCACATTCGCTCTGACTTCCGTCCAGAAAATCTTCATGGGAAAATAATCCGATCTTGCCTTTTAAAAAAGAGCCACTTCCAAATAATGGAACGATGGCTCCTCTTTCATGCATTTTCCAGACTTGCGAATGTGCGAATGTAAATTATATGTCCTTTATGAGACAGGTTCTTAAACAGGGGATGTGTGTAATATCTCAAAAGGGCAGGTGCATCGAGAAATAGGAATGGAGAAACAGGATGCTAGCCTTGCTCCCGCTGACTGAAGGAGAAAGAACCAAACTAGCTGAATGACCTTGAGATAATTCCTGAATTTGCCTTAGTTTCAGGCTAAGGTGACCTGTCATCAAGTGGTGGAACTAGATAACAATCTTTAACTATCAGCCAGATTTTCTGTCATGTTCAGTATGTGCATACTTGTCTGCAAGTGCACATGTGCTGACACATTAGGGCAAAAGCAGCCCAATCCCGGAGTCCTCCTTTTTTGTTTGGACTTAAAAATATGGTCTCTGTGGCTTCATTTTCAGTGTCACTGCTTTAGTGGCTGGTATGGGATGTGGGGGGTGATTCTCTACCTTTACAGGGGGATGCTAGTGGAATACTCTCTTCTGGAAAATTGTTTATTTTATGAAGATCCTTAGATTGAAATGTTCACTTTAAAAACAAAGATATTGGCATTAGTATAAACTTAAATAGTAGATCATTATATATTTCTTTTGTGACTTACCTTAAGTCGATATATTAATTTATGGCAATTACAATATTTCTGAGAAAAGGTAAATGAGGCCTGGTAGTAATAACAATGATTTCAGACAATATCCCCATGGTTTTGAAAACTATCCATTTTCCTATTATTCTTAGAATGTATAATACTAGCGATGTATCCAAATCTGAATTGTCAGGCTGAGCATGGTTTTGCTTTGCAAATGTTAGATCTAATTTCCTTGGGATGGTGGGAGGGAGACGAGGTGCAAATGGCTTATTAATGTGCTAATACTCTTCTAAGCCTCCATCACACCAGTAAAGCCAGTGGAACCTGGCTACACCACACTAGAAGGTTGTCTCTCTTAACTCCTGCTTCCTCATCTATGAAATGTGAGGATGGATGCCCATGATGGAAGGTGGTGGGGAGGGTCATAGATACTCCACGATGTGGCTTTGCAGGCTATACTGTCTCTGTGCCAAATACCCAGTTCTGCCATAGACAGAAAATAGCCATAGCCAATATGTAGGCAAGTGTGCATGGCCATGTCCCAATACAACTGTATTTATGGATCTTGAAATTTGAGTTTTATATAATTTCCATGAGTCACGAAATCTAATTCTTTGGATTTTTCCCCAACCATTAAAAAATATAAAAGTCATTCTTGGCTTGTGGATCCTACTAAAACAAGTGACAGGCTGGATTTGGCTCAGGATTCCCTAGCATGCTGACCCCTCCCGTAGCAAGTACCTGCTAAATATTCAGTGCTTAGTAAAGGGCAATTTTTTATTAAACTCCTATATGAGAAAGACATTGCAGATAGATAACGCTTATCATGGGCAAAGACCACCCATGATGGACATTGAAGGAGTGCTCAGTGTTTTAGATACAACTTACTGTTTCAGCCATGTGGCTCTTTGTTGAGGAGAGTGATAATTCATGTTGCTCCAGGGAGGGGTCCAGAGCTCGGCAGTTTCCACTCCATGCTTGGGTTAACCCTGATGGCTATGTTCTTCATCACAGCATCCCTATAAACTTGGAGAGCTAAGTTGGGAGGAGCAAGGGAAGCTGTTCTTGTCTCTCTAATGTTGCCCTGGGTATCACTGCTGATGTAACTGGTAGGTTTGGGGTAGAGGCAAGAACTTCAGGAGAAAAAAGTGCTGGATCAACATGGAGCCATATTTATAGACTGAATTGCATTTCAGTGATAGAGCATTCCAATCACTTTTTGCCTTAGCACTTTGATGCTTAATTTGAAAATGTTTTCATTTTTAATTTAACATTTAAGCCTCCCCAGAAGTGGTATACCATGGTGGTAAGGAAGATGGGCTCTGGAGTCAAACTGCTAGGGCTCAAACCCTAGAGCCAGGTCTCCTAGCTGTGTGTCCTTGGGCAAGTCAATTAACCTCTCTGACCTCCCTATACTATAGGATTAAATATGGATTATAGTACTACTATAATCCTATTGTCTGTGTGAGTTTGGAAGGCTAGATGAACTAGTACATGTACATTTGGAAGCTAAGAGCTTAATAACATCAATGAGTAGCCAGTGGTCAGAATGGCATGCACAGACAAAATGTGATTGGCATAGTTTGTGGGTTTTATGACACTTCTGGAATTAAAAAGAACCAGTTTTTATTCTAACGTGCTTGGGAAAAATTAAAAGCATGATGTGTCAGGTTTGGGTATGGTCAACTCGTCCATCCTTCCTTTCTTATGCTCCCTTCCAGGAGCTGGCCCACTTTGACCACTTCTGCGAGTGGCCGGATGGCTATGTGCGCTTCATCTACCGCAGTGACGAGAAGAAGGCCCAGCGCCATCTGAGCGGCTGGGCCATGCGCAACACCAACAACCACAATGGCCACATCCTCAAGAAGTCGTGCCTGGGCGTGGTGGTGTGTGCCCGGGCCTGCACCCTGCCCGATGGCTCCCGCCTGCAGCTGCGACCTGCCATCTGCGACAAGGCGCGCCTGAAGCAGCAGAGTGAGGGCCCAAGGCCAGGATGGGGTGGGATGACCTTGTAGACTCGAGAGTTCCCTTTTGCCAAGGAATTTCCCTTGCTTCCTTCAAAAGCACCTGGGGTCTGAGTTGTTAGTAATATTGCTCTCCGTCTGGCTTTGCAGAGAAAGCATGCCCCAACTGTCATTCCACTTTGGAGTTGATTCCCTGTCGCGGGCACAGTGGGTATCCTGTGACCAACTTCTGGAGGCTTGATGGCAATGCAATATTTTTTCAAGTAGGTGGGGGCACATGACAATTTGTGGTGGGTATGTTCATCAGGCCACAGGGACCAGACCACCTGCCCTGGACCTTAGGAACTCTGGACTAACCCAAATAGAGCTTTGTGGTCAGAAACCTGGGCTGGGGGACGCCTGGGTGGCTCAGTGGTTAAGTGTCTGCCTTTGGCTCAGGACGTGATCCCAGGGATCGGGATGGAGTCCCACATCGGGCTCCTGCAGAGAGCCTGCTTCTCCCTCTGCCTCTTTCTCTCCCCGTCTCTTATGAATAAATAAATAAAATCTTAAAAGAAAAAAAAAGAAAACTGGGCTGGGGCTCCCAGGGCCTTACTGGGTTCCTAGGAATTAGGTCAGCTTCTGCATGTTCAGTAAGGGTGAGAAATAGTAAACCAAATTAGAGTTATAGCTGAGTTAATACGGGAAAAGGGTTGTTAGGTAATCTTTTAAGATCTCTATTATCAATGTTGTTTTATTTGGTCATTTTTCCCTGTCATGTTGAAAAAACAAAAAACACCTTGAGATCTTGGGAAAGACGATCAATTTTTAACAGACGTCACCAGCTTCCTTCAGCAAAATAAACATATGATTTATTTCCTTATTAATGCAGGCCAAAGGAGTTCACGACCACCCAAGACCAGAGAGCAAATCAGAGACGGAAGCTAGAAGAAGCGCCATCAAGAGACAAATGGCCTCTTTTTACCAACCCCAGAAAAAGAGAATTCGAGAACCAGAGGTAATGGGGAGCTGACATGACACTGTGGTCTGTGTTCATCTCCATCACAAAATACACTGCTAATTATGTAAAATATGAATGCTACAAATTAATTAGGTTTTATTTTATGGGAAAATTATATTTCCAACAAAATGTCATTGAATCCACATTTTGGATAGGGTTTCTAATTTCTTCTTCTTCTTAAAAAAAAGGCAAACTGTCTCTACAGTCAATGATATAGTGAGGATGTGTGCTGACACCCTGACATAAGGGCCAGGTATCCAGTTTTACTAAAAAGAGAAATATGTGCAGACCAACAGTCAGTTAATAGCACATCCTTGAGAGCATCCTTTTATTATTTACACAGAGCAAATAAAACTTCCAGTTGGGGCAACTTGATCCAGTTTGGCTTTAGTCTGGGGATGAGAGAAGCTCGTGTTTGAGCACTTTCTAAGAGTTTCACACATGAAATGGTCACAAAAGCCTTACGAAGAGGTGGCTGTTATTTACATTTTTAAAATTAGGAATCTGAGGTTCAGAAAGGTTAAGTAACTAGTTTGATTAATGAGGGACAGAGTCAGGATTTGAACAGAGTCAGGTCTATGTCAGGCAGGAGCCTGTGTCTCCGTTATTATAAATAGAAATCCATTATTACGATCAGGCACCACAGAGCCATCTGCCACTCAGCCCCAGCCTGCCTGGCTACGGTGGACTCTCTTCATTCGGCAGCATGGTGTTGGTGCCTGAGCAAGCTCAAATGATGCAGCCCTTGGACCACGTGCCCAAAGCATGTACCTGAGTGGTGCAGTGCTCACAACACACAACTGGCCAACTGGAAGTTTGTTTTCACTTGGTTGGTTGGCCACTGTTCCAGATGAGGGTGACTGTGTAATTTACATTTCTGTTGACCAAAAAAAAAAAAATTTTTTTTTATATCATTTTTTTAGGCCGGAGAGAATCAAGACAACAGTGGACATTTCAGCAACATACCTCCCTTGGAAAATCCAGAAGAGTTTGATATAATTACTGACACTGGCTTCCCTATTTCAGGGCAGCCTTGCTTTTCCTTCCCAAACTCCGATGCTTACAAAGCTACCTGTGACCTAGCCACCTTTCAGGGAGACGTAATGCCACCCTTTCAGAAATATCCAAACCCAAGAATTTTTTTGCCTAGGCCACCTTGCAGCTATGAATTGGCAGCTCCTCATTACACAAATTCAAGCCCACATCCCACCCTTTATAGGAATTCTAGCAATGTCCCTAATGATACAGACTGGGTTCATCTGAATGCACTACAATACGTCAATTCATACGGCAGCTTTGAGAGAAGCTTTGATTTCACCAGTAAACAACATGGCTGGAAACCAGCTCTTGGAAAACCTGGAACTGGGGAGAGGACTGACCATGGACAGTTCCAGGCCGTGGCCACTCACCCTTATTATAACACAGAGCTCCCCTGCAGGTACCTCGCAGCTGCCCCAGCAGGTGCTCCAGCACTGCAGACAGTGATCACCACCACCACCAAGGTGTCCTACCAGGCGTACCAGCCCCCGGCTCTGAAATACTGTGACAATGTACAGGAAGCGAAGAGCCTTTCAGGGTGTAATTATGCTTCTGAAAACATCCCCATGTCCATCTACCCAGAAGTCTTGGACTTCCCAACCACAGTAGCCAGGGCAGCCTCGCCAGCAGGGTCATTGCCTTTGAAAATTCCAGGTGATTGCAGAGCCATCAGACCCACTTTGGCCTTTCCTCAAGAGTCCGCTCCCCCTAGGACAGACGGAGCAGAGATTTGGGATGTGTGTCCATCTAGGTTGGGGTCTGCAATCAATTATTCAGATGGGGTCAGTCCATTCTTTAGCTACGACAGTGAGGACTATTGAACAGCAATCCTGGCCACAGCATAATATCGGTGTCCATGTGTGCAGTGAAATGTGGAATAGGAGCTATCTCTTGTTTGAGTTGGGAGATTGATCTAGCAGACATAAATAATAATAATGCTGATCAGTTGAGAAAATTATGGGTTGGAAATGTTTAGATAGTATAGGGAAAGTTGTGCACAGCACTATAAAACCTACCACGCTACAGGGGTGCCTTGGGTGGCTCAATCACGTAAGCCTCCAGCTTGATTTTGGTTCAGGTCGTGATCTCAGGGTCATGAGATCAAGCCCTGTGTCAGGCTCCACTCTCGGGGCAGAGTCTGCTTGAGATTCTCTCTCTCCCTCTTCCTCTGCCTCTCCTGCACCCCAGGCTCATTCACTGGCTTTTAAAGAAATAAATAAATAATAAACAAATAAATAAATAAATAATCTTCAGAATAAAAAAGAAACCTACCACACTACATAGATTTAGGTCTGAAATGTGACTCCCGCAAATGAACAAATAAGCAGATTGGATACCATGATGATTAATAATCTAAATTCACTGGAGTAGAAGCCATGAATCCTGGTTCTCATTCTAAGCCCTTTCCCATTTGACCATAGGTAATTTCATATATCCTTATCTGGCACTTGGGGGTTGTCAAAATAGTTTCCAGAAGAAATCTTGACAATCTTATCTCCTGAGTTGTTTCTTAAAATGTTTATTTAGCATTTACACTCTATTAAAAGAGCTTCAGGAAATATATTTAATCATTTTATCTCCAAGTATATATCTACAACTTTTTAAAAATCTGCAATATTGCAATGATAACGTGCAATTGTTTTTAAGAGAATTTTGTTTGCCAGTATCAGCTGAATAGCTTTTCTTAACATCGATGAATGTTTTCATAACAGAAAGAGCCTAACTATGATGTGTATTTAATGGATTATTATTGTGCTAAAATTTGTTTTTTTCTGATTAAGTTTCGGAATTAGAATTGAGATGTTTTATTCAAATGCAGCTTTACTGTTCTTTTACTACTCCTTATAAATGTCATTGATAATATTTGATTGAATGTAATAAAGAAGTTTTAAGGTAATGTTGATGCTGGCGTTATTTCAAAATGAAAATAGGAAAAAAAATATTGTTCATATTATCACCTGGGAAACAGTTTCTATAATATACAAAAACATATTGGTTCATTTAACAGTTTTATAGTTTATTTCTTTTTATCCTTTTGTATCTTTTGACCCCCTTCACCCATTTTGCTCACTCCTCCTCCCCCACCTCTGGCAACCACCAATCTGTTTTCTGTATCTATGAACTCTATTTTTTGTTATTTTAGATTCCACATGTAAGTGAAATCATATGGTATTTGTCTTTCCCTGTCTGACTTCTCACTTTGTATAATGCCCCCAAGGTCTATCCATGTTGTCACAATAGAAGACTTCATTCCTTTTCGTGGTTAAATAATATTCCAATATATCTATATGCCATATTTTCTTTATTCACTCATCCATAGGTAGACAACTATTAGGTTGTTTCTGTGTCTTTGCTATTGTCAATGATGCTACTATTTACGTGAGGGTGCATATAGCTTTTCAATTTTGTATTTTCATTTTCTTAGTATAGATATACCTAGCAGAGGAATTGCTGGATCACATGGTAGTTCTGTTTTTAATTTTTTGAGGAAACTCCATGCTGTTTTCCATAGTAATTATACCAATTTCCATTCCCACCAACAGTGCACAAGGAAGGGTTCCCTTTTCTTCACATCCTCGCCAGCACTAATTTCTTGTCTTCTTAATAATAGCCATTCTATGATGTGATGAGCACTGGGTGTTATACTATATGTTAGAAAACTGAATTTAAATAAAAAAATAATAGCCATTCTAAAGGTGTGAGGTGATTTCTCACTGTGATTTAGACTTGTATTGCCCTGATGATGGGTGATGCTGAGCATCTTTTCATATACCTATTGATCATTTGTGCATCTTCTTTAAAAATGTCTATTCAGATCATCTGCCCATTTTTTAATTGGATTGCTTTTTGCTATTGAATTGTATGAGTTTTTTTATGTGCCTTGGATATTAACCCCTTATTAGATATATGATTTGTAAACATTCTCTCCCATTCAGTAAATTACCTTTTCCTTATGTTAATGATTTCCTTCTCTGTCCAAAAACCTTTTAGTTTGATGTCATTTGACTCACTTATTTTTGCTTTTGGTATCAAATCCAAACAATCACCAAGACCAATATTAAGGAGTTTATTGTTTGTTTTCTTCTAGGAATTTTATGGTTTCAGGTCTTATATTTAAATTCTTAATCCACTTTAATTTTTAAGTATGGTGTAAGACAGTGGCCCAGTTTCATTCTTTTGCATGTAGCTATCCAAGTGCCATTTATTGAAGAGACTGTCCTTTCCTCATTGTATATTTTTGGCTCTCCTCTGTTATAAATTAATTGCCCATATATCTATGGATTATTTCTAGGCTCTCTGTTCTGTTCCATTGATTTATGTGTCTGCTTTTTATGCCAACACCATACTGTTTGTTTACTACAGCTTTGGAATATAGTTTGAAGTCAGAGAGCACAATGCCTTCAGCTTTGTTCTTCTTTTTCAAGATTGCTTTGGCTTTTGGAGTCTTTTTGTGATTCCACACAAATTTTAGAGTTGTTTTTTCTATTTCTGTGGAAAACACCAGTGGAATGTTGGTGGGAATTTTGCATTGAATTTGTAAATTGCTTTGAGTAATGTGGATATTTTAACAATATAAATTCTTCTGATCCATGAGTTTGGGATATCCATTTATTTGTATCTTATTTAATTTCTTTGATTAATGTCTTATAGTTTTCAGTGTGCAGGTCAGGTCTTTCACTTTCTCAGTTAAACTTATTTCTAGATGGGGCATCTGGGTGGCTCAGTGATTGAGCATCTGCTTTCGTTCAGGTTGTGATCCCGGGGTCCTGGGATCAAGTCCCACATCAGGCTCCCCACAGGCTCCCCTCTGCCTGGTCTCTGCCCCTCTGTGTCTCTCATGAATAAATAAATAAAATCCTTTAAAAATTATTTCTAGGTATTTGTGGGGTTTTTAAAAAAGAATTCTTTGCTATACTAGTAACCAAAAACATATTCAAAACATTCAGAGTGCATGGATGTGCACACACAATTTTTGTACAGTTCCCAATACTTACTAAAATCATTCCATTTTCAAATTAGTACAAAGTACATAATTTTTTTTGAGAATGGAGTATTCTATTCACATATAATACTCAATTTGCATAACTAAATGGCAGTAAGTCAGATAGATGCCATTTTAAATTACTGAGTGTTATATATTTTTTACCTGACTCATAAAACCCTAATACCCTGATGTAATAAATACATAGAGTCCTAGCCTCGATATTAAATGAATATGAGTACACTCCTGTGATTCCCTAGCCAACTCTTTCTCCAAGGAAAGGATGCCTAGCACACTCACAGACTACTTCTGTTGACTGAACACACAGCTTATAAGGTCTAACATTTATATGGCACTTGCAGGGGCCAGACACAGTTCTAAGCTCTGAACATATGCTAATGCTTTTAATCCTCACAGCAGTTCTCTGAGCTACCAGAGACCTGCAGTGACTGACATGTAAATAGCAGCTAGAACTTGAATTCAGAGCACCTCCTACACTCTTAACCACCACATGTTAGCTTTGACTATAGCTATTTATCAGTGAAATTCCATTTGTACTTAGCACATGTGTACTTGGCACCAAGCAGGGAGCTTGACTACTTCTAAGTATTTATGCCCAACACAGGACCTGAGGCATCCACATAAGACAAGTAGAAAGGGGCAGGGCAGGGAAGGGAGTGAACACACTCAGGGTGGAGGCCCTGAAGCAAACATTTCCTAAAGTGTGGTTAAAGGATACCCTGGTTACAGGGTGATTCTAAATAGTCTGCAGATATTTTATGTGAATAGTTGCAGATTTATTTTAATGTGTAAAGGAAAAGATATAAGTAACACATCAAGCCTATGATTTTAAAATATTTTTGCCTAGACAAAGCAAGATAGTATGGGGGTGTGGGTTGGTTGGTTTGTTTGAAGGCAAGGCAACTTATGATGAAATATTATGCAACCAACAGTACAGATGTTGCAAAGAAATGCTGAACAATGATTAAAATGGTTCAAAATGGGTGAGAACTACGAACTAGTGAGACACATTTCTCTGGAACAAGGGGACAGTTGGTGGCTCAGGTAGAAGGGGTAAAAGGTGATGACAATGAGACTGTATAAAGCTGGGGCCAATGGAGAAAAACAAACATATATGAGATTTTTAGCATCTGGAAGTTTAATCACAGGGCTGAAGGGTCTAGACAGTGGGTAATACTCAGGAGCCAAGATGTGGGAGTTTATCCCAGGAGAGGTGGGTGAAGAAATATACCTCAAGTGTCAGCCAGGGCGCCCCAGCCATGCTATCCTCCAAGGAACCAGGTTATGGAGCAGGGTGGCTGTGTAGCACAGATCAGTTCTTGGGAACAGGGCCAACTGAGGAAGGCATGGGAGGGTTTACACTCTGGATCATATCTAATGCTCAGAAAAACTGATTGGTTAAGGGAGCAACAAGTTTTGTGGAAAATGCATGGAAGTAGGAAACTTACAAAGGCCTAGTTGTCATCCTGTTATTAACATGAAATATTAATTATGAAGAATGCTACTTATTAATAACTCTTTGCTTACTAATTTATTATTAGCTTTCAACTATGGGGAGTGTAAGTTAGAGCATCCAAGGTTTCTGACATACTTTGCTCTGCTCATCTGATGAACTGGCAAGGGCCCAGGCCTGGAGGTAGACCCACGACAATGGTGGCTGCTGAGGGCAGAGGGAAATAAAGCAAAGGAGGTCAGGCTGGACTGGTAGCTGACATTTTGGTCAAGGCAGATGACCACAAGTGACTTCACCTGTGCCAAGGGACACTAAACAGAAACACAAGTTATGCACTTGTTAGTCATTCTTTCCTCCTCATGAAT